GCTTTATATTTGCTCTACTCATGGTATTATTGAGCACTCTCGACACACGAATTCATATACAACCATGGAATCTATATTGCTCCTTCGTTGTAGAGCACTCTATTGGAATCGTGCATCAAGATGGATCGGATATCTTTTGGCTATTCTACGAAGAACATTCCGTAACATACGAAAACATATCTTAAGCGACTGGTCGAACAAACGGAACTTTTTCTGAAAACGTATGAGCTGGAAAGCCTTATTTTTTCTCAATCCCAAGCCAGAAACAGAACAAGAAACTTTCGGATTTAAGAGCAACAAATCACCACCTGTGATCGAGGAATTAAAACAGTTTGAGGAATGCATGGCCAAACTAATATAAAATGTAGAGTCCGATGTTAAACGAAACGACTTCCAAGCAAAATTATCCTGAGATTTAAAAGCAACGAAGAACGCCGAGAAAGTGACGGTGAACGCCGACAAAACAAGTAACTACTATGCGATGGAAAAGAAGAGTACAGCAAACTTTTAGAATCGAACATGAAAACGTATTAGAAAGTGGGCAAGAATGAAGTACCTTCACTCAATCGAGATGCGAAAGAAATAGCTGAGCGTGTCAACCTGGACGACTGAATCGAACGCATAGCAGAGAAAGAAGCGTTCATAACTCTGAAAGACCACAAACCCGACTTCGAGAATAAACCAACTGCAGACTTATCACACCGACAAAATCCGAAATAGGGCACATTAGCAAGATTATAACAGAGAAGCTAGTTAAGAACGTCGTCGAATCTACAGGACTAAACTTTGGACGAGCACCCGTGAAGTACTCGAATGGTATAGAAGTTTTCCCAACAAACAATCCGCAAAATTCATTAACTTCGACATAATAGATTTTTACCCTTCGATCACCGAGAGCCTTCTGTCAAAAGCGGTCGACTACGCAAGCAACTACACGGAAATCAAAGAGCACGAGAATGACATCATTGTTCACACCAAGCACGTATTAGTATTTAACAACGGAGAACCTTGGATAAAGAGAAATACTGTAAGCAGATTCGATATCGGAATGGGATCCTTTCACGGAGCAGAATCATGTGAATTCACTGGTGGTCTGCTACATGCTGTCCCGGCTACAACCGAAGTATGGGAATTTGCTGGGTCTATGCAGAGACGACGGCATCGGAATTTTATATAAGACACCAAAAGAAATCGAAAACGTGACGAAAGACATCTGCAAAACTTTCCCGGACAATGGTCTACGAATAACGATTGAAGCGAACAAAAGAATTGTACATTTTTTGGATGTGACACTTGATTTGAGCTCGGAACAACACATGCCGTACATTAAACCAAACAACAAATTGCAGTATGTGAACATCAATTCTAACCACCCACCGGCTGTACTGAAAAATATCCCAATTGGCATTAACAAGTGACTGTCCGAGATATCCTCCAGCGAGGAAATGTTTGAAAAAGTGGCTCCCTCATATCAACAAGCATATTAGACGACAACAGATATAACTTCAAGCTCCGCTACGAAAAACCCCAAGCAGCAACCAGAAGAAGAAACAGAGTGCGCAATATCATTTGGTACAACCCGCCATATGACCAGAATGTGAAAACAAACGTCGGAAAGGAATTTTTACAAATCGTAAACAAGTGCTTCCCTCCAGAAAACAAACTCCGCAAGATTTCCAATAAGAACACTGTTAAGATCCCGTACAGCTGCATGCCGAATGGGAAGACTATAATAGAGGGAAACAACAGAAGAATACTGCAGAACAATACGGAAACGGAAAACAATAGAGAATGCAACTGCCCGAAAAACGTAATGTAAACGTAACTGGATGGAAACTGCCTTGCTAAAGACATAGTATATAAAGCAACAGTGACAAGCGAAAACAAGACGGAAACATACTCTGTATTAGGCACTGATGAGTGTGGAGCACTCGCTCCACACGAAACAGCTCTGTATGCAATAAACAGATGTAAAAGTATAATTTTATATTTGCTCTACTCATGGTATTATTGAGCACTCTCGACACACGAGTTCATATACAACCATTGCAATCTCTCTCTATATATATATAATTTTATTTATTTATTTATATATACATTGAAAATTCCTCACATAGACCATATATTTTCTTGTTCAAAACCTTCAATTTTGAAAAACAACCTTAAGGTTACTCTCAACCTTTTGCACGGGTATTGCTCTAATGAAGATTAAACGTTTATTGGCGAATGAATCTAATCAATCACTTGTTTTATTTCTAGAGGAGATATATCTCTATGCTCAAGCCAAAATATTTCATGAAATTTCCAGCACCTAATTATGTTATTTAGTGTTATTATTTAGTTTATGTTATTTATTAAATATGTCACAATCATTACAATTAATTAAAATTAATTAAAATTATCCACACAAATTTGGAATTTTTATGTAAAAATGGTATTTTGGATATTTCTCAACTACCAGAAAGAGTGAGGTTACAACATTTTCGCCACATGTTAAGCACAATATGGACCAAAATAGCGCATCAGGATTTACCGAGAAAAATGGAAAAAAACTGCTTAAAAATCAAGTTGTGTTAGAATTGAACATTTTAGTGAATAAAGAGGCATAACTAATAAAATACGGCACTTAATAACAATCCCTGGCGCGCTTTTTTACAGCATTATGTTACCATTAAAACGAGTGTAAAATTAAATTAATCCGAGTTGTAATCACAGAGAAATAGCCATTTATACATCGGCTACTATGTTAGAAATCGAAATGGAGAAATCAGCATTTTTCTATTTTTCACAATGATCAACGAGTGCAAAATGGGTTTAGTATGAGCATGAGTAGTATGTGAAACATCTACTGTTAGTACTTACTGTGACATATCCATGACTAACTGACACCACTAAATTGGTAATATGTTCCATGCACCTTGAGAAATTGTGAGAAATTACGAGGTTACCACCGCACTTTCATGCAAAACGCGCATACGATGTGTACTGCTTGCCATTACTAAGCTATGTGTCAACAAACACGCGCTTAAATGCAAGGTGTGTAACAAGGGAAACGGGGCTATTTTCGGTCGCGTGGCAATTTCAACTATCACTGACAGATGACAGCTGTAGGAGGGTTGATGCTGAATGATACTGGCGTAGTGAAAATCATGAAAATTTTGGTTGTATCATGTCTTTGACGTCATCAGTGACGTCAGCTGCTGCTCACTACACAGGTACGCGGGCAATCAAAACGCTCTAAAAGTTCACATGTACCGTTATATGGAGAAATGAGCATATACAGAGGTGGCACATAGTGTTAGCCATCGAATAAAGTTGAAAATTAAAAATCGGTAAAATTTTGACTAAAACCTTGAGAATATCCTTAAATCGTGTTTTCGGTGCATAATTTGTCAATAATAGTTGCAAGGGAAATGACATTCTAGCTTATCTGTGTTTGTATGTCTGGTGACTTAGACTGCTCCAACCCTAGCCTCTTTACAGGGTGTTTAAGTTATGTCGTATGTGATCACTTTCTATTGTGTAAATAACTGATGGTATGTCCACTGCACGTCTCTCCTGCTTAATTGCAGGCTAGTAGGTGAAACAGTGCCATATTTAATAACTCTGTTTAATATTTTATAGTTTAGCATGTATTATTTTCATTTCCCCTATTTTGCTAACGTGAGTGATCTCTATGTATACGTCAAAGTATAGATTGAATCTCGGCTAATTTTCAAAACTGCCCGGTCACGGCACCAATGTAAGGCTGACTTTCGTACGTCTCTCGCACTCGTCGGTCAGTGAGCGTAGACAGTGATGGTCGAAGACGGCGTGTATAATATAGACGGGTTTATTCTAATACATATGTTACTACATACTGAAACACACGCACCTCCGTACTCGGGTGCCACACCTATTCTGTCGAACATTCTTGTTTTTGCCTTTTATAGGTCGCGTCCTGTCATCTCATTATGCCGTGATCATATTGCGGTTTATGCCGTATTTTCCGTATGCCGCACTGTCCATTGCCCTATCAGAAGGTTTAGCTGGCCTTATTGATTAGTCCCTTATGCTGACCGGGGCAAACGTGACTGGACATGTTTTGGATGAGTCATCCTATTTCACAATCCCTGTACTGCGTTGCGTAATCATTTCTCGTCACCACGCAATACTTTACAGTGCCACCCTATATATTTTATGACGCAGTCTCTGCTGACATGGTGTTCCACATTGTATGCACGCTATGCATGCTGACCGTGTTATGAACCGTGCTCACGTGACCAGTTGATTCCAGGTAGTGATAGTGAAAGTTCTTGTTGTTGGGAGAGCCGCGTTCTCGCGTAGATGCAGAGGAGTCGAGTATACATGTTCATACGGTTTGCCTGTGTCGTGAACAGCGTGTATTGTGCATACGTGTTGACAGTATCGTGAGTACGCGGCATAGTGTTTTACGTTTGGAGCTTTATTTCGATATTAGTTCAATAAAGTGTAGTTTATTAATGGAAGAACAGTGATTTTAATCAGCGAGGTGGCATTTTTTGATAAATTTCTGTGTGGCCGCTGAGAATTTGAGCGAGGTGGCCCCTCACTTGTGACAATGTAGGGGAAACACTGTATAATATATATGTCAAGAGCTAATAATACATGAAGTGCATAACGGGAACATGGGTAAATATTGCTAATATATTGCAAAATTACTCTAATTTTAATCCCATCATGCAGCATTCGTTCCACTCTAAAACAAGACCAACTGCTTGTCTCTACGCCACTCCTAGGCTGAGACATTGGATTGTAAATTTTAACACACTGTCGTAACATTTGAATAAGATTAGATTACTAAATCTAGTATCTAGTATCTAATATCTCAGCCTAGAAGTGACGTAGAGACAAGCAATTTTGCCATGAAGTTGAACTATTCCCCCCCTTTTCCCCTTATACACTATTATTAGCTATTGATGTTGTCTTTGAAAACCGTTTCATTGTGTTTTAGAGGTAGCTAATGCTGGCTAACATTGCAGGTTAGGATAGAGGGCATTGTTGAGAAAATCTCAAGAGAAGATACTTCAGCTTACTTTCACAGTCGGCCTCACGACAGTCAAGTTGCGGCCATCTGTAGTCTTCAAAGTAAACCAGTTGCTAGTTTTCAGGTCAGTATGTGGTTTTGATTTAATAATGATTTCGCACACGTGATTGTGTTGTCTAGGGTGTTTCATAAATGCTCCACCTATAACTGCAATTGGTTCACATCCATCTGCAGACCTATCGCTTTAAATTATATTATTTTAAATCATTGGTTATAATTTTTTTCAAACATGTTATAGTATCTGTTCAGCTGTAATTCATGGGGCAATACTAGCCACACGAGCACCAACCTGCTGCATGCAGCTCGACAGGGATGTTGTGATACATGTGAATGTTCTGATACATTAACCTGCAATTATAGACTGGGCTCTTTTATAAAAACGTGAACTGTAATGTAAATCCTGTAATGTACCTGTTGTAAAGTAAATATTGTAAATGTTTGAAAAGTAAATAACTACAAATAAATAGTTAATACAGACAAACATATCTGATTCTGTAAGGATTGAATTTTGTGGACACATTAATGGTTACTATGCCTCCGCTCCAAATATGCGTACATGTGGTGCATTAGGAGTAGTTAAAGTTAGTCCAATTTTAGTAGTAATTTTAGTCCAAACACAGACAACAATTATATTGCATTGCATTATGACTGATTTCGTGTACCAGTGTGACAACCTACATGCTTTACTATTATATTTCAGATGCTTGTATTATTCTCTTACAGAAATGTGTATATATATATATATATATATATATATATATATATATATATATATATATAGTCTCTCATTTCTTCTTATGAAGTAATATTATGCTATTGGCTATAGCCTATAACGTCGTACTAGACATCCCCCCATTTCTCTCTCATGTGTGCGTGCGTGCGTGCGTGCGTGCGTGTGGCGGGGTGTGTGTGTATCGTGCATTGCTAGGCGGTTGGAGTCAAACCGGTTGGTGTCAATTGTTGAAACTATATTATTGTTCTGTATGTTGAACATTGATCTGTTGTATGGATGTGAGCCATTATGGAGATATGATGTTGTTGGTCTATATTTATTATGTTGATTGGTTACGTGACAGTATGCCAGGGTTCTGCTTCTGTTGAAATTTTGGGCATTTGGGTTTTTTGCAAGCACTGAATCATGATTCTGAGATAAAACAGCTCTCATGTCTGAATTGCTCTCATCTGTATCCATTGTTGGGTAAGCCAATACCAGTGCTGAGGTCAGCAACTGTATGAGTTTGCTGAACCTTCATTTCTTCTCTCCCCATTCGAGCAATACAGGAATTAAGAAAATAGGGAAACAATAAATCTGTAATATGAAGCAATTGCCAAAAAGCTTATTGTTTCTCCAGCTGACTGTGGCGCCTTCCAGTTGTTTACTGCTTCCATCTTTGACGCCACTCAGCTGTTTGCTGGGACGCATCTCAGACTACCACCTGATACCACCTGCCCTAAGAAATTGATACTGGTCTGGGACAAGTAACATTTCGCTGGTTTTAATTTCAGGTTTGCTGCTCTGAATCGGTTGAAAACCGTTTGCCGATTTTCGATTGTCTCCACGAATATTTTCGTAGTTAAACTAAGCATTTTCTGCCCAGCTACCCACGCAGGGCGGATTCCATGAGTCGTTCAAAGGTCGCTGGTGCATTTCACAATCCGAAGTCATCACACAAAACCTCCATAAAGAGTCCTTTGTGGAGACCCTGTTATATCTTTGGAATCTTCACCTATTTCTACTTTCCAGTAGCCTGCTGCTAGGTCTAGTCTTGCTAACCAGTATGCTTCACATGGTAAGTCACCCATTCTGGGTAGTGGGAATGCATCCTTTCATATAGCATGGTTGATTTTTTTCTAGTCAACACAGAACCATCCTTTTTTGTCACTAACACAACCAGTCAAGCTCACTAACTCCTTACCTGAGCATGTCTTCAATTTCTGTACCTATGTCTCTCTGTCTATTGAAAGGAATTCGAGATGGTGGCTGCTTGATCGGTCGAGCATTTCCAGTATTGATCCAATGCTTAACGATATTCGTCCTTTTAGGGCCATCTCCTTGTCCGGCGAATATATCTCTCAGTTTTTCTGTCTCTCTGATTCGCTCATCGGGCTTTAATCTAGCATCTGCCCTGTTCAATAGATTATTTTTATTATTCACTAACACAATCGGTGAACCCCACGGCCTAATTGCCTGACTCAATAACTCCTTTCTTGAGCATGTCCTCAATTTCCGTACCTATATCTTTCTGTCTATTGAAAGGAACTTGACTCAGTGGCTGCTTGATCGGTTGAGCATTTCCAGTATTGATCCAATGCTTAACGATATTCGTCCTTCCAAGGCCATCCGGCCTGGTCCGGCGAATATATCTCAGTTTTTCTGTCACTCTAATTCGCCCCTCGGGCTTTAATCTAGCATCTGCCCTGTTCAGTAGATTATTTAGGTGATCTTCCAGCTGTTCGGGTAATATTCCCTTAAGAGAGTTTACCTCCCCTTGTCATTGCCTTGGCGCTTCTCTCTCAGTTGGTTTCAGATGTCCCACTTATTGATCATCCACTAACAGGATAGGCCCTTTTCCTGTCTGGCTGATGACCAGTGGTACTTTCATCACCTCTCCTGGGAGAACAGTCTGTTTCAGCTGAATTCCTTGAAACTACAGCAATTTAAATTCTGTGGTAGGTACCAGCCTTGCATTCTTTCCCCTGGATAAATTTCCATAAGAGTATGTCCATCGAGGAACGCTAGATCCGCTACCTGGCTGTATCTTTGTTGTTTCTTTCACGTAGAGTGGTATACCATCCTCTCCCCCTGTCAAGCATCCTTGAATTGCTTGCCCATTTAATGAAATCATCCCTGTAGCCATGTGTTGGGCAAGAAAGTCGAGCCCTAGTATTTAATCCAAATCTCCTAATTGTGCAACAACCATTTTATTTCTGTATATTCCCCTGGTGATCTCGAAGTGGTTATCAGTTTCTCCAGGACTAACCAGCACATCTCCATTTCGTAGTAGAATCGATTGATGCATTGTTTGTGTGAATTGGTTGATGCCCTGTCAGTTCTAATCACGGGATATGTTGTTCGTTTGAATTAGCAATGGGGTTAGCCGCTAGCTTTTCCGCCAGGTGGCGCAGCGGGAGTTAGAAGTGTTACAACGATTGCGCAACGAACGAGTCAGTTGTAAAGATACAGGAATCATAGCGATATAACCAAGTTAAAATGCCTTCGTACTGTTGTGTTCCTGGTTGTAAGTCGGCTAAAGCTGGTCATAAGTTTCCAGCGAACCCGAATCTGAACTACAAATGTAAGGTTGCTGTGAGGAGAGTTGAGAAAACCACAACAAATGTGTAGAAACCGATGAGGCATTCTAAAGAAGATGCCTGATCGGGAAACTATTGACGCGTATATGCCAACAAATTTCAACAAACTGTTCCCAAACACAAGAGTTATTTTAGATGCAACCGAGACTCCTATTCACAAACCAAGTAGAGTTGATGACCAGAGTGTTACATTTTCTACGTACAAAAACAAGAACACTTTAAAAACGATGATCGGCTGTAGCCCAAGAGGCCTTGTTACTTATGTCAGTGATAGCTATGGTGGTAGCGCCAGTGACCGTCAAATTATTGAAAGGTCTGAGCTGTGTAGTAGTGCTATGTTTGACAGGGGTGACAGCATCATGTCACTTATGATTTATGATTTCCAACTTTAGGCGAGCTATTGTCAGCAGTAATGCCTAGTGTCTGTAGTAAATGGCTGCGTTTTAGAAATAAAGATATACATAATTTGTATTGCAACTTGAGTCTTTGTAGCTTTACTAATCCCAATAAACATATTACATAACTCCTGAGCACACACAAAAGAATAAACACCCACTTCACATATGCACCACTAATATCACAGTGTTTCTCAATAAACATATTACATAACTCCTGAGCACACACAAAAGAATAAACACCCACTTCACATATGCACCACTAATATCACCGTGAATCTCAATAAACATTATTACATAACTCCTCAGCACACACAAAAGAATAAACACCCACTTCACATATGGACGCAAGCACACACGTACGCATGCACGCACCCACGCACGCACGCACACACGCACGCACACACTTGTACGTGCGCACATGTACGTGCACACGCACGCACGCATGCACACACGTGTACCTGCACACGCACGCACACACGCACGCATGCACGTACATGTATGACCACACGCACACGCACGCACACACGCACGCATGCACGCACGGGTACGTACACACGCACCCACGCACGCATGCACGCACGAGTGACCACACGCACACGCACGCATGCACGCACGGGTACGTACACACGCACCCACGCACGCATGCACGCACGAGTACGTGCACACGCACGCACATGTACGTGCACACGCACGCACACACGTGGACGTGCACACCCACGCACGCACGCATATATATTGTCAGCGCGAATATAGGTGGTGTACGACAGTAGGGGCTCTTCTGCAGGTCCTACATGTACCTACATATATACATGAATCTCAATAAACATATTACATAACTCCTCAGCACACACAAAAGAATAAACACCCACTTCACATATGCACCACTAATATCACCGTGAATCTCAATAAACATATTACATAACTCCTCAGCACACACACACAAATAAACACCCACTTCCCCCACTCTATCCCGGGTGTGCATCTGGGTACGCGGATAATCTTCACCTCTGCAGATGTGCTGCCCTCCAGCGGCAACTGTTTCTAGCGGCTAACCCCATTGGTTGTTCGAATCGGTTGATGTGTTGTTCACTTAAATCATAATCAGGACCCCCTATTTCCGTGACCTTTCCCGTTGCTCTCTTTTCGCTTGCTGGTTGCTTTTCCAAGCTCGTGGTCAAGCTGCCTCGGCGGTTGTAGTCCATTGGTGAGGTTGCTTGAGAGCAAACTCACTCAGTAGTTGTCGTCGCGTGTGCTCGTGGCCAAACTCTCTCTCTTTCTCTCTCTCTCTCTCTCTCTGGCGTTCTCTCTCTCTCTCTCTCTTGGTGGTGGTTGTCGATCGAGTGAGCTCATGGCC